AGTGTTCATGCTTGGGAGTGTGGATCGACTCGGACTGTTTTGACCGCGCATGCGTTTTTGAAGTGTTATGAATATTGTATTGGCTTTTTAGACCATACGAAACGTATACAATCCCAAATTGTTTATTTATATGTGGACGAATGTCTCTTGTTCTTGTTTTATTTGTAAATTAAAGCAATTTTAGAATTATTAATTTTTTAATATTCTGTTTTAATTTATTCCATTGAAATGTGATGATAATGATAAACATATACATGCAAATGTTATTTGAAGCTGAGCTTTCAAAAGGAACTTCATTATTATAATAAACAATAAACAAAACACCTTCATGACGTGTTCTGGTTTTCCAAGAATTTCAAACAGTCGGGGATTTTTTGCCTTTACGCATACGGTCCGGCGCAGTTTCAAAACAGTTTTCATTTTGAGAACCAGAACAAACCTTATTTCAGATTCGCAGCCCCCCACCCCCGGTGAATTTAAATGTAAATCCGAAACCCAAGAAATTATCGCCAAACCCGGAGTTTCCGGGTTAAAACGACGATGTTGGTAATAAATGAAACATTTTAAAAATCTTGTATTGTAGTACATTTAAAACTTTATTTTCCATTTATTTTTTTTATACTACGGCTATGACTTTGTTTTCAGGGTTGTGGGTACAATCTTTTATGCCTGATCATTTCTAACATTGATTTTCTTTTTTTTTTTTGACAAAAAAAGTTATATCGGATGGATGGACAGACTTTTTTAAAAGTTGCTTAAAATTTAATGAGAAGGATTTTGGTACAATTTTTTTTTAAATGTGGATCGATATTTTGGTTTCTCGAAAGTAAACACAATAATTCTTCGCAGATAGACTACTGTGTGAAAAGAATATGGTCGTCGTGTATAGAAATCTCAGAAATATAACATATTATGATTAGAGACCATCAAAAATCACTTTTTATAATTATGTACGAGATTATAAAAATTATAAAAACAAAATATTTTCAGAGTGAAGGAAGCAGAAGTAATTCTACACTAAATAAATAAACATACAGTTTTTAATTTTTCTTGTTTAATATTAAACATGCCATAATAATATATAAATGTATACATAATTTTATGAAAACCCAGGATGTACCTACACCTGAAAAAAAAATATGTTATCCAGATGTTGATAGATCACGTACCGTACAGTAACGTATTTCACATAAACCCTCAATAAAGGGTGAGTCATAACTATTAGGACGTTAGGCAAGAAATATTTAATTGCACATTTTGATAAAGGGGTGCAACGTGAGCGATTCCTGATGATGAATTTGAGTCATACATTTTTTGGCGAAACTCTTTACTAATTTTGATTAGAAAATACGGTATAAACATAATTTTTATATAAAATTGTTATACTTGTTTAAACTTATCAAATTTCAACAGTTTTTAAGAAAAACGCAAATGGTCTATGAAAGTGCTTTCAAATAAAAAAAAGTAGATAAAATTTAACTCGGAATAATAAAATTACAAACTGTATAACGATTTTACTGATTTTAAATTAATTTTACTGGTGTTAATTAATTAATGTGATTAAGCTCAAAAATTAATGTTATCTACATTCTCAAAGTAGTTTAATCTGTTCGCTGGTCAAAATTTACTATATACTCACAAAAAAAAAAGCAAAAAACAAAGTAAGAAAAATTATTGAGCACCACCAAGTTTTCTGAAAATATTTGAATCTAAATATACCTACATTGTTTATTTACCTCTGTTACCTCAAAGTATCCTGATATGGGGTGAAGGTAATTAAAAATCAAGTAGCCCTTAAGGTATACTTACAGTAAAAAATTGGTTGCTACACCCCTGGCGTCTTATCAAAAACCACTCTTTTCAAAATGAGTAGTATTTTTTCTTGAAAAAGACTGAGGCGTGATAGATTACGACTAGTGGCGAGGAAAAGTACCCCTTACGGTCTACTTATTGTGTCCTAAACTCCTAGCGTCTTATTGAAAAACCACCCTTTATATAAAAATATATTTTTTGTTTATCTATGAGGCGTGACAGAGCAGATTACCACTAGCGGTTATAATAATAAAGTAACTACCCCGTAAGGTCTGATTACAGTAAAAAATTGGATGTCCTAAACCCCTGGCGTCTTATCGAAAAACCACCCTTTAAAAAAGTTATTTGAAAATATTGTTTGTTTTAATGGCTTCTATTACAGTTAAAAAAACTATTAACTTAAGATTCACTCGCAGTATATTATTTAATAGGTGAGAAAGAAATATTCAAAAAAGTAGGGGCCCCAAAAAATATTAAACAAATTGTAGATCCATCACTGACTATATGCCTACCTCTTAGATTATACAAACCTTAGATGGAACATAAGACACTGTGCATAATCCCACATCGAAATTATTCACACCCACCAATCACAGTTAAGGACATCACATGTCAGAGCGTTGTTCGTCCAAATTTAATGTGCCAAAGAGAATTAATTTGGTATTTTAGTGACTTAAATTTTGGAAATTAATGTTGGAAATGCCAAGATGTGTTGTAAAAAGCTTTATTTATAATAAAAGTGCGAAGTGTGACGGCGATAAAGGAAACTTTTATTTCAGTGAGTTATTAACGATTCTATCAACGGCCATATTTGTTTATTTGAAAACAAACAGAACCGGATTGTTATAATAAGTAGCAAATAAAGGTTATTGCCCTCTTCATAAATGAATTGTGCTAACAAATGAAGTCAAACAATTTCTCATAAATTTTCATCTTTTAACAGTTACCAAAATTAGGTACTACAATACAAATATTTAAGTCCGGCCCAGAACATCTCCCTACTCCTTCCGCCCAGTTTTTCGGTTTTGGTAAAATTCGCGCAGCGGCAAATGTTACCTCTACCCTTTCTAACCTCAGTAACCTCTTTGGCCTACCTCTATTACAGCCAAATCATCGAGGAAGAGCCAAATAAATATCAAAAACCTTATTAAAAAAAAAAAAATTGTTTTCTTGATAATTTTGGAGAATTCGCGACATCTAGTTTTGAGAAACGTTAATACTGCTAAGCGATAGTTTTAAAAACGACAATGTCCATCTATACAATAGTATTAACACTACCAAAAACCAACCAAGGAAAAATAATATTAAAAAGGATAGGACAGTTTTTAAAATGTTTGTATATTTGTGACGTCACCTCAGATACTTACATTTTTAAATCCATGCTTTATACTTACTGAGAAGGCGCTGGAAAGTACTTTTCCATTGATTAAAATTAAAAAATAAAGGTTACTGGAAATTATCTTTGGCATATTATAGCACAGTCAATAAAGTCAGGTCAAATATTTTATATGCCGCTAATATTTATCGACATAAGGGTGAGATTACAGAACGTCTGCAACTTTGCAGATCTGCAAATATGACGGCAACTTTGCAGATCTGCAAATATGGTGGACTTACATATGCATGTATCAAGTTTTCGTATTCCAAAAAAGATCTGCAAATTCGCAATATTTATTGTGGTTTATTACCCACAACAAAACTAAACCCAAATCCATTACTATGTTTAAAAACTCGATAATCTGACACCATGAACTGTATTCAATCAAAAGAAACAGAAGACTTCATGGTTGTAGGATGTTCTAACCTTCTTAAGGGTGGATTTGGATTTAGTGTTGTTAGGGGTAATAAATATTGCGAATTTGCAGATATTTTTTGGATAGTTGCATCTGTAAGTCCGCCATATTTGCAGATTTGCAAAGTTGCAGACGTTCTGTAATCTCATGACCATCTGGCAGAAATATTCTGTAACTGATTTGTTTTGTATTCGTTGTTATTTTTCTAGTTGTTTACTTTGTCATACACTAAAATATGATGTTATATCTCCTTTTTTATTAATGACAATTGTTTACGGTTGACGATAAGTTTGTATGGCCCACGTTAGCAAAGTGTCTTTATCAAACTCGCCTGACACTCGCTTTGCTCGCTTCATAACTATTATCATCCTTATAAAACACGAGGAAAACCATTAATAAAGTTGACGGCTATACAAAAGTAATATAGGTAATTACATAAATTATTATAAAATTAAATAATAAAACACTCTTCTGCTTTAAGAGGATTGTATACAGTATTTCTGTATCTGTAACGTGCGGAGGGTGGGTTACCCTCACGGCACTTAGGCCTCATTAGGCCCATTGTGCATCCTCTTGAGATGATAGGCACCTCCTAGCTCGTGAGCCAGCCTACAGATTTAATGTAGTTGACAATGTCGCCAAGAAGTGCTTCTCTTATATCGACCAATGTTAGCTGATACTTGCTGAACACAAATCTAATAAATGAGAGCGTCAAACAATCGTAAAGGATATGCTCGATGGTCTCATCTTCTTGTTCGCACCCTCTGCAGAGTCCGGATTCTGACAGCCCCATGATATGATGCTTTTTTCGTACTTGGCAATGACCAGTCAGAATGCCTGTGACTAGGCGTGGATTCTGTCTAGTCATGGTCAAGTATTTGTTTGCTGCAGTGTTGTCAGGATAACTTAAGAGCTCCCTGGCAACTCTGTAGTTTCTTGTTTCATCCCATCTTTCCTTGAATTTCTGTAGAACAGTGTGCGCCAGCCCACAAGTGTAAGAGTTTATGTTGCGAGACCTCGCTCTGCTCGTTCCGCAAATATTCACTGGTTACATAAAATAAGGTATTTTGTAACTCGTTTCATAAGGTTCTTTCATTTGTCTCACTGCTTTAACTGTTAACGAAAGTACCTATAAATAGCTATTAAAATATTGTTTCTTGCAAAAAATAAATCATGTTTACCCTTGAATATAATAAAAATTCAAGTATATTACACAAAACAGGAAAAGAATTAAAGTTCCAAACACACAAAAATTTAATAAAATACAGAAACTAAACGGATAAATAATCTTAAACGGTTTTAAGTTCTACGGTGACGTCATATGCAAGGGCAATGTTTGCATAATGTATGAACTAATCTGTCCTGTTAATAGTTATTTAATCCTTGCTCAGTCAAACATCTGTTGTCCTTGACTTTTGACAATTATAAATGTCAAAATTAAAAGTGAAAATTTGTATACCTGAAAATAAATATTGCGAATGATGAAAATATGGAGTGTGAAAATGAAGTTTATTCAGAATGCAAAATGTTAAAAGAAAAAAAAGAAAGAGAAGAGTATTTGGAAAAATTGAAAAAATGGTTGGATGAAGCTAGGTTATGGCGCTACAATATTTATTCTGGTTTCCAATGGAATTTTGACGAAAATTTTAGAGAAAACTCAAGTCAAACTTCTAATACATTTTTTTCTAATGCTAATCAAGACAACCTTCAATATGCACTACAACAGAGACTTCTATTTTTGGCAAATAGGAATTATCAAAACACATTATTTCAAACAGGTAAATGAACAGCTTTCAATATTTATTTTGCTACATATTTTATTGAATATTCAATTCTTTAATCAGTATTGAGTAAAATGTCGCATACTGTTTTACCTTGAATTTAAAACGTTTCTTTTTCTTCTATCTTGCATAATTTTTTACTTATTTGATCATGGATTGTCATAGTCAGAGTGACCTGGAGAGACCAAATAGGACTTCTGTTAATTAATCATTCTCCAATATATTAAACTATGATAAATACATCTTCGAAATATTGAGAAAGTCAATACAAAGTTAGAAATAGTTTATAGATTAAAAAATTAAAATTATGTTTGATAAAAAAAAAACAGAATGTTGAAGAAATAGAGAGCATTTTGTAATGGTTGTATTATGATTCTTAAAGTGTTCTATCTTTTCTAATAATTTTAATAATGTAATGACTTTCTCATTTTTATTGAAGAGTTCTACAGTTGTATTGAAGTCAAATTAAAATTAAACAAAAAAGGAGTAATTTAATTTGAATTAAGAGTAGATATTAATTACTAACACTGACTAAAGATAATATTTATCCGTTTGTATTTTGCCTTTTTTTGGAAAAATATTTGTTACAGGTCAAGCTCCTCAAAGGCACCAAATTCCACAAACTTATGAATTCATTATACCACCCCTATGGAAGAGAGCTGTTGCAGAGTTATTGGATTTTTTACTGTTATTATTAGTTAAAGTTGCATTGACTTTTATTCTTTTGGAAAGTTTTGATGTCATGTAAGAAAAATTTTAGTTTTTTAATCATCATTAAATTAATAAAAATACCTACCTCTCAATTTTGACAAAAGATAATTATTTTTTCTTAAATGTAAAAATATTTCATGAAATAAAAATTATTGTACATTGTGGCCCACTGAAAACACTCCACTATTGAATTGAAAAATTAATGAGACAGAAAACTTAATTTGTTTGAACGACAATTAACAACATATACCATAAATAACTTGAATCAAATTACTCTCAAAAAGCTTTGAAAACATGTACTCTGTTAACATGTAAGTACCTGCTTCAGACAAACTGTTTTACAAATGTATTGAACGCCACCTTTGCCACACCTTGTGTGTTGTGCTACATGTTTTTCATGTTTTCTGTGAGTCCTAATTGATGACATGTAAACTATTAGAGGCTAATTTTGATATTATAGACCAGTTTATAAAAGATAAGGATAAATACAATTAGGTTTGGTAAAACAGTGTATACTATTTTAAAACACTCCTATGAGATCATTAAAAAAAATACATACAGACTTTAAGTAAATGTATTATTTACCTGTTTTCCACTTGAACTTTTTAGGGATACCTAACCTTGTACCTAACCCTCATTTAATAATAATAACACATTTATTGTCCACATATAAAGTACATATAGTACAGTTTATATAATTAAATATATATATATAAAAAAAAGTCAGTAGACAATTGGTTCAAGTGTGGATATTATCCACCCCTGGTCTTTCACCAATGCCAACATGATATAAAAAAATGCCTTTTGAGATGGCTTTCTAAAATTATAAGAAAAGTTTAATGAGAAGGGAAGGAAAGAGAAATGAGAGAATAAAAAAGAAAATAAAAGAAAAAAGAGTAGAAATAAAAAGTAATTGTGTTTGCAGAAGTATATTTTTATAGTGGCATTTAAAGGTTTCTGCTTTCAAATGTAATAATGTTGGATCAATTTTTAACAGGTTATTGATATGGACTGTGACATTGTAGATAAAAGAACTTTTAAAACTAGCTTTGAAAAATCTAGGCAATCTAAGTATGGATTTAAAACGAATATTTAGGTTATGAATATCAGTTCTAGATGTTAATTATTCATGCAAGTATGGCGGTGTCCTTTTATTAAATAATTTTTGACATAAAAAAAATGTAAATTTCTTCTATTAACCATATTTAACCATTTAGTTTCTTTAAATTTAGTAGAAATGTGATCATATTTACAAATGTCAAATATTAACCCTACACAAGAATTCTGCAATTTTTAAATTCTTCCAGACTCGAAAATGTTTAAACATGGACCATATACAATATCACAATGATTAAAATTTGATACTACTAGTGAATCACATAACATTTTTTTTACATCTGGTGATAGAAAATATCGTTGCACATATATTAGTTTCAAACTTGCATAAGACAATTTTAATTTTGAAGTAATATGTTGTTCAAACTTCAATTTTGAATCTACAGTAAGACCTAAGTTTTTAAATTGCGTAACAGCTATAGCCTGACCTAAAACCAAATTTTTTACTAGGTAATATATTGTTGTTTTTCAAAAACCCTCTCATTTGAATTTCTATTACTCTCTCTAATATTTTGGAGAAAACAGGTAAAATACTATTTGATCTTAAATCACTGTATTCTTCAGGCAAAGTTACTTTTGGTAAGATCAAAAGTAAATTTCCATGATTCAGGAAAATAACTATTTTTTTAAGCATTCATTAATAATGTGTGTAATAATGGGTAATAGAAATGGACAACAAAAGTGTAAAATAGTAATATTAATATCATCCATTCCATAAGCTTTAGATTTGATGTTGTAGATAATATTATTGACAACATCTTCCAAAACATTAAAATAAAAATCTTCAGTAATATTTTCTTTAAAATTGTTAAGGTAAAAATGTTGTAAATCTATTTGCATAGATTGTATGTTTAAAGTGAAACATTTGTTAATGGCATCTTTTAGGTTTGGAGGTACGTCAATTTTTTTTTGTTTCGATATATTGAGTTTATTAATTCTGACCATTTTTCCTTAATATTACAAGTTTGAAATTTAAAATTTAAGTAAGCCATTTTTTCTGCTTTTATAGCTGTTGTTGTGTAGTTTCTTAATTGTTTATAGTAATCCTAATGCGTTGGAAGTTGTTTTGCGAAATTTTTGCAAGGCTTTATCTCTAAGCCTTTGCATATAAATAATATTTTTAGTAATCTAGGAAGAATGTTTAATTAGTTTTCTAGTTTTTGATTTTTTTGGAGCATGTATATCTAGAACTGTAATTATGTAGCTAGTTAAAAATTCTATTTTTTTATCAAAGTTTTCAGTAAAATAAATATTGTACCAGGGCATAGATGCCAAATGATTTTGAAAATGTGCATGATTAATCTTTGTAAGTGACCTATATTTAAAGTCGTTTTGAGGTACATTGTGAACATTTTTAAATTTGCAGTTTATTGCTGAATGATCCGCAACTAGATTATGATTATCAAATTCTGTATAGAAATTGATATTAATATTAGTTATAAATAAGTCTAACAAAGAGTTACCCCTTGTTGGTTCTTTAATTATTTGTATTAGATCAAATGTTTCAAGTATCGAGTTAAAACGAATTGTAGTAGAATCATCAATATCCAACATGTCTATATTAAAATCTCCTACACATATAATATAATCAAAATTTGAAAAAATGTTGGGAAACAGAGTTTCAACTTGATCCAAAAACAATAAATTATTACCTCTTGGTTGCCTATATACAGTACCTACTGCTATTATTAAATCCATAAATATTCTATAACATCATTTACATTCAGAAATGATTAAATTACATCTTAGTTGCTCCCTTATATACATACCAACACCTCCGCATCTAGTGAGTCTATCTTGTCTAATAAATTTATAACCATTTAAATGTACCAAATTACTGTCTATTTCTGGGTTTAGCCAGGTTTCGGTGACCCTAACAATGTCATAGTCCCTATCTAAAATACGGTACTAGCGATCGAACATTTTCATGGTCTACATTAAACATCTGCAAAAATAAATTAGTATTTATTAATTTATTAGGATAGCAAAATCAGTGTTTTGGAAGTGGTTTAGGTAAGAGAAGAGAGAAAGTAAGACGGAAGAAGGAGGGAAACGAACGATTTTAATACAAATTTAGTCCACTCAGAGACTGCTATGCAATAGTATTTTGATGCTCCGCTCAATGAAAAACGGATTTTCAAATTAAAAAAAATAAATAAAAATTTGAGAATGTATTGTGATGGGAGAAAAAGCATTGTTTCTTATCATATTGGCACCTAGTGTATATCAATTTTTTTTAAATACAATACAAAAAACACATTTTTATAAACAGTTGTATTACTTATATAAAAAATATATATAGAAAAATTTGAAAAAAAAAAAACAAATTGTATATAAAACCAAATATTTTTAAATAATCCCTTGGAATAGCAATCTTATTACTAAATTCATCAATTTAAATTTAAATTATTACTATCATAGCAAAAATATATATGTACAAACACAAATTTTTAATGATATAGAAGATGATCTTAAATACATGAGAGGAGTCTTTCAAAAACAAAACGAAGGGAAATAAAAACGTAACCCATTTTCTAAATTGTAAATTCTAAATATTTTTAAACAAATCCTCTAATACATGAAGTGAGTCAAAAAGTCTGGGTGGACTGTTTTTAGTTTGCCACAGTGTGATAGTTAATGGTGTGCCAATTTTATATTGATCTTTTTTCAGAGATATGGGTTTTTATGGATTAGAATTATTCCAAAAAAATTTGGAAAACTCTGAGGGTTCTGTACCTATGGCAGTTGAATTACTTACTCTAGAACTGTTGCATCGTGTCATAGTTTGTGTATATGAGGTTAGTAATACTTGTGTCAAGATTCTGCCTATTAGGTATTGCAAATAACAATTTGTTTCCACTATTTTCATTACACCCTATCAAGAAAAAAAATCATTTTGTTTTTACTGAATTGGTGGTAACGTACACATTTAAAAGTGACTGCCAATTCAAACCTTTTCGAGCATATTATTATTTAAGTAGACCAGCCAACTAAAAAATATCCAGTTGATAATCAATTTCTCTTTAATTTCATAGTTTTGCATTTGTCAATATTTTGCACCATTTTATTTATATAAAAATCATCTATCCAGTAATTCACACATATTTAAATCAACTAATTAGGCATATTTTTATATGCTATTTATATTCTGATTTTTATTAGTACTTATCCACTAAAAAATTCACTGTGGTATAAAATAAAAACTTTCCTAATGTCAGTTGGCCTGTTAAGTATTTTTTGACAATGTTGATCCATTGTATTCCTGTCATTCTTCACCTCATACTATTGTCATCCAAAAAGTAGTATGATTACTGATAAATTATTTTTTCACAGGCATATTTTCTGAAAGGAAGATTATGCGCCACACCAGGGAAAAGGTACATGGGCCTAATGGTGATAACAGCAGAAACAATCACTTCTGTGCCAACTAGACCAACAGAAACAGTATCAGTGACCAGAGCGAAACCTTTAGGATGGCGGCAATCTTTCACCCGTGCTACCTTAAAAAACCTCTTCGTAGGTCTTTTCCTACCATTGTGTATCGCATTTTATATATTCCCCCATAACCGTACCAGTTACGATGTTATGTCCAAAAGTTTGGTTGTGGAGTACCATCAGGAATTTATGGTCTATCATTCCAATATGTAATTGATTAAAAGATATTTATATACTGGCCAAGAAATAAATGTGATATTGTTTTTTAAAGTTTTATTTAATCTAATTTCAATAATAATATTTATTCGGCTTTAAGACATACATATTTACAATATTTTAAAAAGGTTAAAAAATGTATAAACCTATTAGCCTTGTCAACACATACAATTATAAAAAGTAGAGATATGCTGCATTTGAGTTTAAAATAAAGTACAAATTAAAAATAGTATACAATAGGGCAAAAACATTAGACAATAATTATAATAAAGAGATACCATTACGGATCACCGAGTATCATTCATAAATTCTGCATAGGAATAATATGTTTTGGACGAAAGATATGCATAAAGCTTATTTTTGAATACATTAAAGATGTTTTCATTACCATTGACTTGAGTATATCTATTAAAAAATGCAACACCTCTGTAGATTTCGGAATTCTGTCCAACTGAGAGTCTAGAGAAAGACTGCTGTAGATATTTGAGATTGCGTGTATTATAATTATGTGACTGTCTATAATCTGATAGTTGGGATTCCTGTTTTTTATATTAAGTATTAGTAAGTATATATACAAAGATGGAAGTGTTAGAAATTTAAAGTCATGAAAAAGTTGTTTGCAGCTAGTTGTTCTTGAAACCCCAGCCATGCATCTTGATAACTGTTTTTGTACACAGAAGGCTCGCTCCAGATGAGCTGAGCAGCCCCAGAAAATTGGACCATATGAGATAATTGTTTCAACCAAACCAAAATATGTTAATTTTAAAACATCGGGATTTACAGTGTTTTTTAACTGCCTCATTAGAAAACATACATTACTTAGTTTATTTGATACATGATCTACATGCTGTCCAGAATTAGACCTGAGAATTTGCTCGAATTTGTTTTGTATCAATGATTGAGATAGCTGAAGTCGTTTGTTATATTTTTTTGTAGAAAGGTCATGATTTCAGATTTTTTACATTAACATTTAAGCCGTGTGAGATACAATAACTATAAAATTCATGTGTAGCACTATTATCAGATGCATTTTTTACTGATGTTCCAAAAGTTGTGTCATCTGCATATATAATTTTGGTACTTTGACTTGTACAAGATAGAGCTAAGTCATTAATAAAAAAAACAGGTCCCAATATTGAGCCCTGCGGTACTACCTTTGTCACATTTCAACTATTTGATTTACTGGATCCGATGGTTAAAACTTGTTCACGGTTGTTTAAATATGACTGTATCCACTTATTTGGTGGGCCCCTTATACTTATTCGGTACAATTTATCTACTAGCAGTCGGTGGTCAATTGAGTCAAAGGCTCGTGAGAGGTCGAAGTATAAGGTAATATTTAATTCCTTGTTATTTAAAGATGTGCAAACAAAATCGCAGAACTCCCCTATAGTACTAGATGTTGACTTATTTCTGCGAAAATTAAATCCTTTTTAATAAATATACCAAGGAAAGATATTTATAAATTTTTTGATTTGTGAAAACAAATTAAACAATGTGGAAATATAAAATTAATGTTAATTAGTAAGATGCACTTAAAAATGTAAAAATAAACCCAGCCCACAGACAGCTTTGGCTTTGTGGGAATTGTTTTCTTTGTTTGTGTTAATTTTGTATTTTTAGAAAAATTAAAATGTTAAATTTAAGTTTAATTGCAATAATTGATGCAAATAAGGATTATTATTATTACTATAATTTGGTAGAATGTAGTCTACATCAGTAAACTGATTATTAAAAGCATTACATATATTTTGTACACTAGAAATTTTGTTGCCTTAACAATTTAGCATCTGGATGGGTAATTTTTTTACTGATTTTCCTTTTGCTTCATTTACAATTCTCCACCATTCTTTTGTTGAATTTCGTTTTTCTTTGGCTCTTCCTACAAACCTGTTTAGTTCTTCAGCATCATTTTCTTTTACTACACCAATGTGGCATCTCGGTTGTCTTCTTTTTTGTATTTTACTGTTTTGAATGGTAATTTTTGATTTTTAATGCAGAAAATCGTTTGAAAATAAAACAAAGTCATCGTCTCGAAACCTGCACACTGACCTCCTTACCTGTATCCTTACACTATGACGAAGCATAAGTATTAAATTGTGTTAAGTTTGATATTTTCAGACAGATATGTACTATTTAGTAATAATAAAAAAAATGCATTATTTTTTAAGAATATTTATTCAGAAAATATACAAAATAGAACTATCTTACAACACAATACATTCTAAACTGTTTAAATAAATACTGATACACCCAATAAACAATTTTCGAAACATTTTAAAATTTATTATCAAAAAATCATTCGAAGGTATTGCTATTTATTACAAATGTTTAAAAAAATGCGTTTAATAATAATCACGAATATTGGAAGACAAAAATGTTGGATTTATATATTTTTTCTTTTGGAAACAAATTGTTGAAAAACGCTGAAACTACATATTAATTTGGACCAAGTAAATCTTCAGTCAAATAAATGACAACTTTTTGAAAAACTTTTATCTTGTTCAAATGGTTTATTTCAAGCATTTTTATAAGAATGTTCTAAGCCTTAACGGTCAGATGCAGAATAGCACTGCTTTTAATATTGCAGTAACTTTTCAAATGTAGAAATAAAATCGTTAATGAGTAAAAATTGAAGCTGTTAATATTTTGTTAAAAATGTGACTTCATAAAAAATAATTTTCATATTCTACAGTAGACATGGAAGATGTAAGTCTGATATTCGTAATTATTAAAAGCTCCAAGAATGTTCAACATTAGATTTTATACGGGGTAAGTCATAAATTACAGAAACTAGAATAACTGAAGACTGTATGTCTCAAAATATAAAGATTGAATTAAATATTGTTTCTAATTAATGAGATTGAGGGTAGGGTATATTAATAGTCAGGAGCAGCTTCCATTTTTTATTAAAATTTTTATTATGTAGGTGCTAGTAAGGATGTGCTTTTCTTATATTCATTTTGGGACTATTTGATATAAACAAAAAGAAAAATAGGTAAAACTTAAATAATTTTTATAGATATCGTAAGAAACCTCATTAACTAGAAACGTTGTATTCATAAAATCTCTTCTATTAAGACAAAAGTCTCGAATTGTGCATCAATAATAATACTTCATTTTAGATAATGTTAGCATAAATTTTAAGATTTAATTCACAACACTTAAAACTTGTATTGAGCCCAGTTCACTATGTTTTATTAGCAAACATTGATAAGATTTACTTTGCGCGATTTTTAGCAAATCAAATTCTTCTAAATCGAGTGGAAACAAATTAAAACAAGATTCTTGAAATTAAACCAATGTTTGGTTAATATTTTTAGATTTTCTTAAGTAATTTGTTTAGTTTGTTAAAGTTTACTGTTTGTGTTTCATTTCTACAGTGGTCTGTTATTATTGTATTCGGATGACAATATTTTAAAAGTAGCTTTAATGAAACATTGGTTTAATTTTTACTCTACTTGCCTTAAACACATTAGTTGTTTTTTTACTTAGTACTAATCAATCTATATTTTTCTTCGAATTTTTTGTCTTGCTCTTTTGTTGAATTACTGTTTTGTACCAAACAGCATAGATGTTAAATGTTTATATACACAAAAATTATTAGTAGGCATACATAAACGAGCAATTATGGTTATATTAATTCTTTATTAACATATTCATCAATTATAGTTTAAATACCCAACTCAGATCAGACTTACATTTTATTTTTAATTCTCAAAAATAAGTTTTATTGTTGCAATGGCCGCACTATAAAACATCCGAAGAAATATCAGATTAACCCCTAACTACTAGTATACAGTATTGGCCATCAAATGTCTTCCTATATCCCTTGGCACAAGTATGTGTGAAAACTACAGAGAGCCAGTCCTAGCGCAAGTAGGAAAAGAACAATACCAGCGATGCCAGCCTACACAGGGCCAGAATTTCACCGCGGTCGGTTTGTGTAAATGGCAACGTTGACATTATTCCTTTTCTACTGCTTCAATGCCAACTCTGTAGCTTGGAAGACGTTCAGTGGCCGACACCGTAGAGTAATTCGTTATTGGCAATGAGAAAATTCTTATTTTCATTTTCCCCATTTTTTTTCAAGGAGGTACAATTGAAAATTAAGTAAAAAAATCGTCTATTGCTGGCTTTTTCCTTGTTTTCTTGCTTCCACTCATCACCCCAGCTTGTAAATGTCTTGATCACCTTAATTTTCTGAATATTTGCTCATGCTTTAAACCAAGCGACACCAAACGACCAAATAGCAATAACATAGTGAAAGACAATATAATACGGTTACCTAAAAAGGATTAGTGAAAGAAATCGGATGAGGTGGAGTGATAATGTTAAGAAGGCTAGGGGCTAGCAGAAAGTCTTGGAGAAAAATGGGACCTATGTCCAAGATTGTAAGAAGAAAAATATCATAAGAAGGATGAATTATTCAAGCGCGGCCATTGCAGGTAAAAATATATCTGGGATAAAGAACATGACAACTATTTGATTTTGATTTAATTGCAATTGTATACAAATATAAATTGAAATAATGTATCTAATAGTACCAATAATCCTGGCTATTTTTACTGAAGAGGCTATTTAGAGTAATTCTAGACCAAACAATAGATTCTTAAAAAATAAATAAATTTGACTATTTTTTTATTAATACATTATTTAAGGATATATTTTATACAATTAAATCAAAATCGGAATCGTCAGAATTCCCCGCATATGAAATTTTCAAGACAACAATAAAAATCCTCATAACCTATTCAATTAATTTAGTACATACCTATAAATATGAATGTACATTTTGAAATGATCAGTATTTATTTAAGTGACATACATTTTGAAAGTTTTATAACACTTTTGTATAAAAACCAAAATCTATATAGCACAGAGAAATTATTTAAACAAAAAAGTACAGGATTCGAATTGGTTATTTGAAGGTGCCAACAGCTTAAAAAGGGCTCAAACTTAAAGGTAGTCTTGGAATATATTCAGTTCGTTATTTTTACAAGACATTTGTTAAAAACATTCAACTAAACGTTGGTCTCATCAGAAACCTCGTTAGAAAGTTAGAACTAAAACTAAATTTAAACTGTACCTATCGTATAACTCATCAAGGCTCCTTTCTCAGACCAACGTTTCTTTGAATACTCAATACCTGTAGTATTATCAAGTTGTCTATAAGAACTTTAGACTAAACCTTCCTGTAGTTTCTTGGGTACCTTTATTCATATTAGTTGTATTTATGTGTATGTATAATTTTCAATTAATGTACAATGTATCTTAAGTCTTACAGAAGCTCAGAATCTTTTAACACTAATAACATTTTTTAAATGTGGTTTAGAAAACAGCTGGAAACTTTAATCCATAAAATCCCTGATTCCTTCATTAAAGATATATTTCATAATACAAAAGTTATACAAAATTAATTTAGTGCCTTTTTAAACATATCTACGAGGTATGATAAAAAAATAACGGGAAAAACGTCCAGAATTGTAGAAAACCCACACTCTTGGAAAATGCTTCACGATAATGCTCCCGCTCACACCTCACTAGTTATTCATGATTAAAAATAAAATGTTTTGTCTTTGCACCGTATTTGCCCGACATGGCCCCCTGTAACTGAAGGAGCTGAATGCTATACCGAAAAGTGAGTTCCAGAACTGCTTCCAAAATTGAAAAAAGCGCTGGGAAAAGTGTGAGGGGGATTATTTTGAAGGGGACAAAATTGTTCTTCAAGAAAAATAAAAATTCCAGTTATTTTTTTTTTATCACACTTCGTACATGAACATTTAACAGTTTTATTATATTTTTTGTTCAAAATCCTTAAATACAATTATTACAGCTAATTACTTTAAAACACCATGCCGTTTAATCGGATTGCAACATTTTATAAATTAATTTTTTGTCGTTCTATCATAATTTAAATTTAAAAACTTTATGGTTGATCTATATCTTTAAGCTCGTTAAAATAAAATTGTATAATCAATTTATCCTGTACAATATAATATGCATTCTCTGGCATAACTCAATAAACGAAACAATATGAACTCATAGAAACCATTTCTTAAACAACATCAAAAATGGGTGAATGAATCAATAAAAATTATCTGTTTTTTATTTCGAAATACGAAAAAATCAAAATGAAATCTTAAGAAATTTCACTTTTTAAATAATTGATGGTTTCCCGAAAACAATGGAAAATCCAAAGCATAAACAGAATGAACATATTAAACATATTTTATGTAAAGTTTTAAAGATAGTTTACCTTTGCTTTATTAGGTTAACTATTGGTTTAGGAACTAATTTTAAATTAATGCAGAAATTAAAAAAAAAACATAATTATGCTCCACAAACCCTCTGTGCTACATTTTAATCAACTTAAATTAAAATGGAATTAAATTTTAAATAATTCATACATAAATTTTGCGAACAAAAAATAATTTATAATACTATGTACAAATAGAAAAATGTCTTAACCAGGATGATTCACAGTAGAATTTCAACAAGGAAATATATGAAACTAAATCAACTCCTGAATGGAAATGGCAGTCATTTATAAGTCAGATTATTAATATTTTACCTCAAGTTTGTTATTTCTAGAAACCTTTTATTGTGTTCTTAATTTAGTTAAAATATTGAAAACGCCAATAGACTTTCATACATTTTTTTTTGATAGGCATAATAGTACATGACCTGCTATATCAACCTACATAATTTTCATTATCTGAATAGGAGCATTGGATATTAAGTAAATTCATAACATTTTTAATGAAAACGAAATTTACTAAATAATAATTTATATTAGTTATCAATAAAGATCAAATCTTCTTTGGGTTTTCAAATTATGATTATTTGATGCCAAAGCTAATAAATATTAAATATGAATTTGTGGTAGACATGAATAACAAAAATGAAATCAATTGTCAGTGTAAAAATAGGTTGACTAAGTCATATATCCAATTTAAAAAACAAATATTGATAGAAATTTCAAATCAATATATGTTTACAACAGTATCTAAGAGAAACATCACCAATCATAGTAATTATTATTTGTGAACGTATCGCATGAAGAAAATGAATTTGCGGTAAATGAGCATTAACATATAAAATTGAATATTAAAAAGATTTGGAAAATAATGATCATAGAAAAATATTGAATACGTGGATAAGAAAACAACAAAAACAATGAAGAGGACGACCTAGAAAAAGCTGGAGAAATTAGAGAACTGAGACAATGCAGGCAAAAGATTTACAAGAAAATGATAAAAAACAATCGATTGCAACATTTATTTAAATTTATGGGACTGATTATTTTGATAGAATTTGAGACATGAATGGTATTACGCACACTCATTAGTTATTGAGCATTATTAGAAGTAAAAATTCAACAAAATAGTATAAATGAACTGCCAATGTTTTAAATTCGAAGTTGAAATATCACTATACAATAGAAAGCCTCAATTTTAATAAATTACCTATTTAAACTTAAAACTTGATAATTAATAATAGGTAGTCTACTATTTTATAGTGGGATGAGAAGAACTAAAGAAACAGTAGTGTAAAAAACACTTCCATAGACTAGTTAATTAAAATTAATGCGAAACATTTACATCTTAAGAATCTCCTGATTCATACTCAATAAAAAAATGTATATGAAAACTATACAAAAGGTGCTACTGAAGAGATCCTCACATTCAATATACCTCTCTATTCATATTTATAATAAAATATGTGAAAATCTCTACAAAAGAAAACGAACGAAAAACAAAATAGAACAATCACCATTTTTGTAAAAGAATTTAACATTAAGAGTATATTTACAATCAAAAGTGCTTCTTTACTTTTACTTCATACAAAAATTTTCTTCATATTATTCTTGAATTTATAAAAACAATCTGTAAATTTCCGACAAAGATTTAACTAAAACTTACTATATAGTCAGAACAGTAAGTTGTTCACACGGTGGATAGCTAGGCCATAAAGTCCGGATCACTATAGTCATTTTCACTGTCATCGTCTGAACTCGCGAACTTCCGCCGTTTCTTTTTATGTCTGTGTTTTTTCACTTTTTCCGGTTTTGGAGTTCTTAGGGTACGTTTTGCATCACTATCAAACCTTCGATTTGATATCACCAATTTGGGCACTTTTGGTGAGGCATCCTGTAAACAGATAAATAACATATAATAAAAATATATCCCAGACATTTGGAAATGCAGGCCCAGTGATTCAGCGTGAATGGGACTTATTCATTAATATATATTTAGAGCAATTTAATAAAAATTTTCCATTAAATTATGTTACTGTAAGGAAAACAAGCAAAAAATATCAGCTAACACAAAACATTATTAATATAAAAAACCAGCTTGATATAGTACTAATTTTAGCTAGTAACAACATGTATAAGGTTCCATACAATTTTTTAAAGAAACAATATTATGAGTTACTACAGGTGAATAAAAAAAATGGTTAGGTTAGTAAAATGAGTTTTAAATATCCTTTTATCTAACAGTCGCATGTAACTCATTAAATTTACTATATTGGGGATAGATATTATAGCCGAATTCCGTGTCTACTAAACCTTTAAAAAGATACGTTTTGATTCAAATAACTTACATTTTTATTTGCCGGTACTTTGTAATTATCGAGTACTATTTGGTCAGTTTCGGTGAGTATCGAAGACGATGCACCGGAATTTCCTTGCGCATCGGTGTTGGTTGAATTTGCTAATGCAATAAGCATCTTTGGAGCATTTTCATCGTCATCTGGATCGTCTGGGTCGAGTTGCAGCATCAGCTGTTTAAACTAAATAAAGAACAAAAAGTAACGTGAGTAGGAAGACATTTTAGATTTGCAAATTAATATGCTATATCCAAAATTAATTAAACAAAAATAATTTTCTAATATGTCTGAAATTGCATAGGCGTCCTCAACAAATAAAGTCATAACTAATTTTTTTTATATCTAATTCAGGGAGAGCTAAGAAAAAAATTAAATAAAACTCTTCAAAATAAACCTTTTTTGCAAATCTATTGTTTGTAGAGAAGCATTTTAATATCTGTTATGACTTTGTTCAATATGGATGTCAACATGTTTCTACATTAGAAACGATCCTTTAAATGTGAAACAATCATCCCAAGGTTGGTCCAATTTATTTGATTTAAAAAACCTTATTGTATTACTGCATCCAGTAAATGTGTCCAAAATTTTGTTTCCTCATTACAGTAGGGATCGCTCTGGATAAGTTTCTGTACATAAATCAATATTAAAAACATCACTTCATTCACTTTCTTAGTTCTAAAGCATTATTTTGTCCTAAACATTTCAAAGAATTAAAGAAAGAAGTCTCGTCTTACAAATAAAGAAATGAGTTGCTTAAAAATGACTTACGTCTACATATTGCCGAATGATCTCTCGCCTTCCATTTTCATCTAAATATTCCGCTGGTTTGCCTTCTTTAAGTTTCTTTACAGTCGCTTTTGGGTTAAAGAGGGCATTTGACCTACGCTGCATGGCTTTTTCGTAAACCTTCGCAGATTCTAAGGGCGAATATTGCTGGATTTTTCTGAAAAATAAAAAAAAAACAATATAGAGTAATTAAACATAATGAATCTCGAATTTCAACAAGTTGTACTAAGAAACACATTGGCTCACCCATCACTAAGGCCGTAAACATCTTTAATATGTTGTTTTAATTTAAGGAGAAGTAAACAACCCTGAGCGGCTGTTATACAAGCTTGAAGTTGACTGGTGTCTTCAGGTACTCGAGTTAATAACAATTCTTCGTCATCATCATCTTCGTCCAATGCAGAAATAATATTTAACATTTCACCATTTTCGTTGTCGATAATTTTCATTGGATTATTACCTTCTATCAGCAACAAACCCTAAAAATAATACATAAATAGTTGAGTAAAATATGGTGTTGTTTTCTGATGAAACTGACAATTACTAAACATTCAGACACTTTCAATCATTACTGGTGAATGATGAGCCTGTGAATACTGATACAATAATTATTACAAAAAAATTATAATATTTTACTAGGGAACCGAAAGATCGTTTTTTTTTCTACAATAATTTCATAAATAACGGTTTGATATTTTTTATCAGCAAATAGCATTGAATTGGTCAAAAGCGAATTATAAAAAAACGTTATTTGTACATTTTCCAAATTTAAAAATTACCTTTTAATGGGTTGTTGCACCGAATTTTTAACTAGTAAATTAAGTAAAGCAGGTTTTAAAAATAATCTTTCGTTAGTTATCCGTAAGTAAATATTATGCAAGTGACTTTTATTTAAAGTTGGCACTATTTGTGGTAAGTCAAAATCGTCAAACATCAATATTAGACCTACGGTATCAGAACAAACGGATATTCCAATTTAGTACTCAATTTGCTCCAAGACCTGCTTGTTTATACAAAAAAAGCTTAGTCTTCCGTATCATTAAATTAGTCCGTTGTAGGATTTGATGGATGCCGTATTAGTAAATTACTCAGCTTATTCAGATAAAGCCTGAAGTTAAATACAGACTAAACTTTACTTTTGTTACAAACTCTGAACACCTTCTCCCTGAGAATGTGAAGCAATTTTGGTCATTCATCAAGAATTTAAAAAGAAGCTTTGGCCTGCCAAACCTAATGATATGATGTGATCCCATAAACAGCTCGTCAAAGTCCGGCTAGTTGTTAATTCATCCAAAACCTGCTGGCTGTCGCTGGGGGGGGGGGGTCTAGGGATAGTCAACTTCACAAATCAAAGTCCTGAAGGTTAATAACGTTGCCGAGAGGTGTTTCTAGGTCTTTTAGTGGACTACCATCCATGTAAATGCCCGGGTGAAGTCATTCTATCCACCCGCTCCACAGCGCAATACATTATCTCATAAATTTTAATTAGTATCCTATTTGTTAACTATTAGAATCTAGTTTTTACACAAATATTAAAAAAACTATTTTTAGTTTTCTGACGCTCCTGTAAAATCACTAAAATTGAGTCATAACCTTTTTTAATGGGAGTTTCTTATTTTAATCCCAGGATTGTATAGTTAAGCTTTTTGGAGACTCTCATCTACAAATTATTCGAATATTATTCCACAATATTATCTGCAAGGCTTTCTTTGTTACTATCTTTATGATTTTTTTTGAGAGCCAATGTTTTAGATGCATCTATTTTCGCTGATCAGATCGCTACCTTGCATATTGTTTAATGTTTTCCGCTTTACTGACGAACCCTGTATTATTTAATATTTAAAAAAATATACAAATGTTTTTTTGATTGCTATTTGATACCTGAAACGCTAGTAGACAATAAAAAAATCAATAATAATCAACTATTAGGGAATAAATATACTTACAGGGCTCTGAATCGAATTTTCACCAGTATTGGTCTTGATTTCTGATATATGTCGGGACCTGTCAGGTCTGTGTTGTTTGTTCAGTTTGTTTATGTTACTAAGCAGTGACTGTGTGAAAAATAAAATATCTTAATAATATTGTTCGTTTTCTTGACTTGCCTTTGGAAAGATTTAATTTTTTTTACAGTAAGAAAAATTGTGCGATTTTCCATGCGGCGTTTATTGAAACAAAAAATATCACACAACCACAATTGAAGCAATATGATCGATTAAAATGGTATTCGAGCAGAGGTATGACAATGCAGTAAGAAATACTTTCTTTTTAATGCATTATCACGTCTCTACTAGCAAATATTTCAAATGAATGCACAGGGATGTCAATTCCTCATACTGTATCGTCTAATAAACCTCGGATTAGTTATTTTACACAAGAATAAATAAATTAAAGTAGGGTAGGAATACCAGTAGTCTTCATTTTAAGACATCTTCAGTGTGACCCTATTTGAGTCAGTAAATAACTTCTTCAATGTAGTTCCTTTTTTAAATTTACTGGGAGGTGGGACTTCACATAAATCCAACTACTACTAGACTAATCCTTTCATTCATGAGTAATAAGTTGTTTACTTTCAAGTATTTAATTCGTGCTTTATGTTAGACAGATTTGAGCCTCATTAGAAAGAGCGAGACGCCCTAATAAATTGAGTGGGATGGCGTTTGCGAGCACTCATGTTATAGTGATGTAGCAAAGAGAATTCACTTTTATTCCCTCGTTTATTTAAAGGCCAATGCTGAATAAAATGTCCATAACAATGATAACAGCCGGAATTTCTACCCTAATTTACCACCAAGTTAATTTTTAAAAGGAATATTAAACGAATAATACAAAAATTAATGAAAACACCTATGAAAAATATGGAGTATTTTTTTTGTGAAAGATAATAAAAAGGGCATGTCATCAGTTAAAAATGACTGATTTAAAATCCATCACCTTTCTAAATCTTTCAATTTTAATATGATAAAAAAGACAATGTTAACAAAAATGCAGCAAGTTAAATAGCGAAATGTCTTGATTATAGAATAATTTTACTTACATCTCTAAAATTCTGCAACAGATTCGTTCCGGAAACTGATATCATAATATCAATTTGATGAACAATGAATAAAGGCTCATCCTGCACTTGGTAAGGAAAGTATGCCAAATTATCGGCCAGGTACAACATATAAGATAAAGTGGTACGCTAAAACAGATTTATATTAGATTCATTTAATTTTGGAGTAAAATTAATCTATATGGGGTGACAATTTAAAACTTACGATTGCTATATCTTATGAACTATGATGAAAATGCTTAAAAACAAAAGTTTTCTGAATCTTAGTAAAAGTATGACTAATCGTAAGTAAAAGATAAAAGTTGTGTATCTTCATTGCTGATACTTTAAACTATTCTCAACTAATTTGAGAACTCACAAAATCATTTAGTTATTAAAAGAATTAGCCGATAGTCGATGTTTTTACATGCTTTTTGTACTCACCAATTTTTATGTAAACTCAGCGTTAAATTGTCACGTCGTATTTTGTATTTAATAAAGTTTGTACTTACAGCTTGCTCATCAAATTGTTTCAAAATATTAAGTATTAAGGCACGTCTTTGTTGTCTGGAACTACGAAGAATTGAGTACAAATAGCCATTCAAGGCACTAGGATAATCGCCTTGTTCTTTTACCCTCGATCCTCTAATGATGCTTTCACCCTGCAAGATTTTCTGTAATTGATAGGACAACCTTATACCCAGTGACGATTTCGTATGAATAAATCCTGGATATTTCTTCTCAATTTCGAGTAACTGCTTATCAGCACTATGTGAGACCATTTTTTCAGTATCAGTACTCATACAAATTAAGTATGGTACTATGGGAACTGGGTGGACCAGTCCTTGTTGCAGGACTAGTTGTATGACCCTCAGCGCGGGTTGCCTTACCTGAAGGCTGTGGTGGAGATAGGACTGCATTATTTCTTTTAGGTACAACTGGATGACTGTACTTGCCATTCCAGATGTCACATCACCCATCTCCTTTAAGTTTTCCTCTTTTGCTCTAGATTTCCCTAAAATTCAAATGGTTTTATTTTTCTCAAATTATTCAGTTTTTAAACTTACATTCTAAATCTTGTTGAATCATTCTGTTTTCTTCTTCGACTAAATAATTTTCAATATTAATCAAAACCTCAACTTTCATTCGTAACGGAGCGTCTTCTAAAGTCAATTGTCTGTGATAAAACATTTTCAATTCGTCTTGTAACATGAATTCATAATGTCGAATGCATATGCTGCCAATAGCTTTCAACGTATTTGCCTGCATATCAATGTCATCTTTTTGTAAAAAGAACGTCATTGTTTGGTAAACTTCTTCTTTCAGATCAGGCTAAAAATAAAAATTCAATGCATTTTTGGAAATCGGTATCATTAATACAACCATGATTATTTGTATGTATATGACGTTTTTGGCTTCATGAAAACTCTAAATGATTTAGATATCTAACAAAGATAATGAGATAATTTTAGTTTAACGTTTAATTAATAAATATTCAAAAACCAGCTCTTATTTTAAATAACATTCAAACAATGTGTCACTAGCCATAAGGTCCTATTTAAATTTATTGGTCAGTGGCCCTGTAACGTCTTAAATGAATATTACATCATTTGTTATCATTTACAGCCGTTTATTTAAGAGAAAAGGGGATTTTTGAGTAGCACTGTATTTTTATACTTACTGATAAATCGCCTGAAACTTCGGGATTCTTGAAATCAAAATGCCTGAGTAACAACCCAACGATAAATAAAGATCTCCTAAAATAAGCTTTAGATTTAACTTCTTGGTACAACCGATAATCAGTTTCAATCCAATTTTTGTATCTGTTCAAAAATTCATAAAATTTCTTAAAGCAGTCCCTGATAAGCTGATAATTCCTTGTGACTTTATTAATAATTGAACTTAAACAAGACAAGCAACTGCTCACGATTGGTCTGTCATGTTGCAATACCAACTTCATAGCATCTTCTTCCAGCTGTGCCAAAAATGAATCACTAGGATGTTCCATTAGAGGTACAACTAATTCCAACATTCTTGCGACACTACTGATTATCTGTATGTCACCTAATGACTGACACTTCAAGCCTAAATAAGGCTGTAGAGTACTGGCATGTTTGACTAAAAGTTGAGGTCTGATTTTAGCAAATAGGTGAAGGGTTGTTAAACAAGCTACGAGCCGTTGAGATGAACCACTGTTTTCAGTGCTTTCTTCTAGGCTCAATACGTTTTCTATAAGACAATCCACTATTTGTCGACAAGCTAGAAGTAGAGCTTTCGGTGGTTCGGTCATTACTTTTGTTGAATCGTCTTTATCTTCCTTTGGTTTGAAGAGCTGAAAACAAAATTGTTCTGCTTGTATGGAAAACTCATACTAAATAATTATCCTTTTACAATTAATCCTTTTACTTATTTACATATAACTTTTCAATAAATCTCAACACAATATGTGACTTGATATAAATAATGTTCAATGTAAGAAGTGTTTATAAAAATTTTATTAACTTAACTTCTTAACAAAGAATTTGATGTTATAGTTCTTTCAGAAACAAATAAGGTTTATAACATTGCTAACTTTAGTATAGAAATAAAGATTATTATTATCTTAACAGAAAACATATGTATCCCATAACAAAGGTTTATTTATTTCTAAAATAGCCAGACGTAAACCTTTTTTTCCTGATAAAAATATTTAATACTTACACTAAGCAGAAGTTGTTCAAACCATTCCAAACCAATTTCTTTGGAAGAAGCTACAACGTCGGTAATGTTCATAACCTTCCTCAACAAGAAGGCATCTTTAGTGGGAGTAAACCACATATTCTGAAATACTTCCATAACCAATTTTCTAATACCTTCCTCATCGTTGACTCTCCTAATCATTTTGACACACAACTCCGGAACTTTAGGAAATTCCGGACATTCTATACATATATCTTTAAGGATTTTTATCACTCGTTTTCTTACACTTACGCCCGTATCTAATATACGATTTGACAGCATTTCATAATATTTACTTATCAATTCTGGACGACTAAGAACAAATTTGCCTACTAAATCTACAGACGCCTCTCTTACAGATGTAGATTGGTCCAGGAATGATGCGTTTACACCCATTTGCATGTCATGTCTACCAAGCACAGATGGGTCCGCTTCTACAATCATGGTTAGGCATTTCATAGCCTTGGTTCTTATAGCTATTGAAGTTTCTTTTAAAACAATCAAGATCTACAAACGAATAAAACAATAAACAAGTTTTAATATTTAGTTTAAAAACCACTTACCGCTTTTAGATATTGGTCGAAACTCTGAGAAAAATGCCTCTTTGAAGCTAGAAATTGAGCAATAAGCTCTGCACTATTATAATCTATATAAGTTTGAAAGACTTGGACTCTATTTCCACTTGATATCGTTTCCTGAAATGGCTTGATCTTGCTCAAGAGGAACTTCTTTTTTTCGTCGATTTGCAAAAATTTTTCAGCATTTTGCTGATCAGTTGTTTTCTTAGATATTTCATCCTTTTCTTCTTCGGATTCCTCTTCCTCATCTTCCTCTAAAAACTTCTTAGTTTTGTGGTTGTTATTCTCTTTAGCATTTTTCTTTTCACCCATAGCTATTTGAGCTTTTTTGTTGACAGCATCTTTGTACCATTGGGTTATGTAAAAATGCCTTGCATATTTATAAGCCTCGTCATTTTGGGCGTTTACAGCAAGAAAATCGAGTAAGACTCTTTGTAAGAATATGCTACGCTCGTGGTCATTGTTTACCAAGTGATTCTTTTTCTAAAAAAAAAAAAAAAAAAAAAAAATCACTGGGTTAAATGTTAAATCTTTTTATCAAATATAGAAAGAATGGGTAATATTCGTTGGAACATGTTTTAGAATAGACCAGAAGGAAGATTTTACTACCGAGTTGCCGTTAGGGAAAGTTAAAATAAATGGTCACAGTAGTAGTTTGTAATTCAGTAAATAAACGTTTCAAAAGAACCTACGTGTGTTACAGTATTAAATGACATAATAGGTCTGCGATATTTTATGTATTATGTAAACATTAAGTGAATTTTGATCAGTTATATTTAAATTATGGATAAAAATATTTAACTAACCTTATTTTTAGAAACAGGTTCATCGTTATCCTTCTGCTCTTCTTGTTTGATGTCCTTAATCATTTGGTCAATGGTATTCAATTTGCATCTAGACACAACACTATCCTTTCTCAATTTAGCAGCAACAACTCCCAAATAATCCAAACTAGCTACTCTCAATGACATATCAGTGCCCTTATTTGAAAAGTTTTTAACTAACATTTTTCCTAGAATGCTTAGTAGCAATTCAGTGGCAGGCCACTCAGGTTTATTGACTGTTGCCAAAAGGTCTTGTACAAAATTTTCAAATAAAGGACGATAATCAATGTCTTCCTGTTTGCTGCCGCATTTATTGAGGAATACTGTAAGGAAGGTACCTGCCGTAGATGTCGCCTTTTCGTATTTGCTGGAAATTAAAATATCAGGATCAACCTGAAAAAAAAAAAGACTGATTTACTAAAGTTCTAAGAGTTAAAAAATGGATAACCCATTATGGATAACATATTAAACTTTACCTTTGGTGTTGATTTTTCATTGGTTTGAGATTTTTCTTTAGAATCCCGTTGCTGGAAATTATTTGGTAAAGCCACCACACACTGGATGAGCTGGAGTACTAAAGCAGTCAACATTTGAATGTGTTCTTCGCTATTTAGCCTATAGGTCCTTAAACTACGTTTTGTACTGGGAAGACGTGCAATAGAGGCTAAAATGTCGTCCAAAAGAAGTCTCCTATGCGTTTCATATTTTGTAAAAATCTGAAGAAAAACAAGGAATATTTTTATTTTTAATCACAGACATAATGGACTAGGAAGTATGTATACTTACAGTTGTGACAAGTTTAAGACATGCTAATTGAAGTTCACTAACATTTTCGGCGAAAAATGGAGAAACACCCATGGAAGAAGCGTGAAGCACTGATGTATCAGTTAAAACTTGGATATTTAATAATTCTGCTAGCAAATTTACTAATTCCGATATTTTTGTATATAAAACTAATATACCCTTCTCAGAAACATGGCTGTTTTTCTTTCGACGGCCATCTTTCTTTTTATTATCCAACCTGAATAGAAAAGTGGAATTATGTAGTTTTTAATAATACTTTATATTCCAATGGCTACTTACATGTATGTAGAGTCAAAAGATGGAAAAATAGTATTATGGAGCTGATACTTGATGAAAAGTACTACTCGATCAATTACTTCTTCTATATAAACACGTTTCGACATGTTTCTAGACGTCATTACGTTCATACACACCAAACAAGCGTCTGCGGCACCCATTACTCTTTCCATTGTAGTTTCTAACCACAGCTGACGAATACACTCGTTGTCTTCCTACAAAATAATATGAAATAAAATATAGTACTTAGAAAAACAATGCTATAAAATGGAACATAATAAGTACGTACTCATGTGATTAATACAAAAATAAAAGAAAAAAAAAATATTAGCTCTATTTTTTCAGTAAATATCAAGGATTTTATGTAATTGATATTAATATCACAAAAATTATATATATTGTTGCTTTATTTAACTTTAATGTTGGCTCAAGAACTAAAAATAGGAAAATAAAAAGGAATGGTCAATTTTTTAAAAAGCTTTTTAAAAGTCTGTAAATTGCATCTACCTGTCCTACATAGTCGAGAATGTCAGAAGTATAGGTATCCTAGCATTCATTAGGAGTATTAATTATAAATTAAAAGAATGTACTCATACAAATATTATATTCTTATCGATACCTTTTAAGACAAATATCAATCAGACTATTAAATTTAATTCTAAACTAAATTACTTAAATTATGTCGAATGGTACCAACAAAATTATTTTTCTTTTTTAAATGTTAGTAACAAGAAAGGGTATAAAATAAATAATTTTAAATTGCCATTTTTATTTAAAAATAAAATATGTTTAGAAAAGAGCCCAAATAATTTAGTTTTTGTTAAAATTAAGGATCAGGCCGCCGCTGGCGGAAACGATATTATAAAAAACAAAAATATTATTATTCTAAGTAATATTAGTATCCTTTCTAATGATATTGAAACGGAAAGTCTTCATCAAATCGTAAATGATTCTGTTAGTTCAAATAAAGATAGTACTCAAATTGAGGAATTAAATAATGAGAATTTTCGGCAAGCTCTGAACCCCGAACAAATAACATAATACAATGTCTCTAAAACAAATACATTTAAAATTATTTATGTTAATGCTCAATCCATAAACAACAAAACAAATCGTTTATAATTAATTTTAGAATTTAAAATTCCAGAAATACTTTGTGTATCAGAAACGTGGTGTAATGAAGAATTGATAAAGAATATAGTTTTTAAATATTTTATTGAGGCTGACTAAAATACATGGAGGAACTGTTATTTTTGTCAAAAATTCCTTAAATTTTAAAAAACTAATTTTTTATAAAGTTTCTCTAAAGAGTGTCTATTTGAATGTTGTGGAATTACATTTAGCATAAATAATATAAAATGTATAATCTGTATATATAGATCGCCTGACAGTTCCACTGAATTATTTTACATAAAATGTGTGACGTTTTAACTGTTCTGTACAATTCTTATGATACTGTAATGGTATGTGGAGATTTTAATATAAATTTTTTAAATGAAAGTCATGGATCTAATAGAATTTTAATTTACAATGTCAAAATATAGAACCGACCAGAGTGTCACTTGACAAAAATGGGAAAATTTCTAAAATAGACTAACAAATTGTAGTTACCATTACAAAGAAATAGTACAAGAATTTTATTTAGGCGATCACTATGGGCTTACTATAAAGCTAAATCACTCTATGCATTCTCAAAAATAAAATCACATGAAAACTGTTTCATTTAGAAATACTTCCTATGCAAATTTATGTAGTCTATCCTTGAAAATGTCACAGGAAGATTTATCACTTGTTTTTGAAGCTCCATTGGATATTGATGAGATTTATAATACGTTTTTGAACATAATTTCCTACCATGTAAATCAGACTTGTCAAATGGAAAATAAAAATTACTTTGAAAACAGACGTAATACAAAATGGGTAAATAACGTCATTGTTAAAATGGAAAATAATTTAAAAAATGTTTCTGATAGTCATATATTGGAACGATACAAAACGGAAAAAAAGATGTATGCACAAAACAATAATAAATGCAAAAAGTATTTTTTCAAGAAAATTTAGCAAACAAAAATATGCAACAAAAACAAAAAATTGTTTGGAAAACTGTTAATTCCAAACTAAATAAACAAAAAATTGCTAATTTTAGTGAAATACATGATGCTAATGGTATAAGATTACTAGAACTTAGATATTGCCAACATGTTTGTAGGATACTTTTCTTCAATGGCTAGTTATGCAATTAAAAATAATTTTCCCAACACTACTTTTATTAATTACACCACTATGTTTGTCCCAAACACATTTCAGTTTATAGAAGTGAATTATGAACAAGTGATAGACACAATTCCATCTCTAAATAATACCAATGCAGAAGGAATTGATTGCATTTCCACAAAAATTATTAAGAAAATTGCCCCATACATTGCAAATTCATTAGCTTATGTAAACAATAATTCCTTGTTACTAGGATTCTTCCCAAACGCTCTTAAAATTGGGCTAGTAACACCAATCTTTAAAAAAGGGTGTCTCTTATCAGCGGATAATTACAGATCTATTTTTTTTTGTCATCGGCTTCAACTGCTAAGGTTATTTCGCCTCGTGTTCTGTGTAGGCTTTGTTACTGTTTCCTGGTGCCACTTTAGGAACAGCACTGTTAATTAGAACCCAACAGTGAATGGTCGAGTGGGGAATCCTACCAAGGCATCAGGATTAATTTTAAATAATTAAATTAAATGAAAAAATCCCGGCCAACGGAATTGTTTTTTTTATTAATTATTCTAATATATCTTTTAACATCCTCATGCATATTATATTCTTATTTTGTAAAATAAATATAGTGTTACTTACGTCAGATATTGGTGATACTCTATCCCCTCCACGGATGTTCATTTCCAATATATTTAGCAATCTTGTTAGCTTTTCTGTGGGGATCATTTCCATTGCACCAAGTATTTTTAATTTAGCTGCCTCTGTACATAATTCTTGCATTACATTCCGACTCAATAGGCTTTCTTCTTGAATCATACCATCGTCACCTAAGATGTCAAAAGATGTTAAATGGCAAAAAAGCTAAGCAACGATTTAATGTCTCATATTTTAATTATTTACCACTTTTGTTGTACAATAACGAATTAATTAAATAGGTAAAAGATGATTCTTACCTATCTTTGTAATATCAAGGTCTTCCCCTGATCTCAGAACATGTTCTATAGATTTATTGAACTTATGATAAGTATTGGTCTCCATGAGTTCTTCTTGCGATAATTTTTCCAAAACTGGAACGAATTTCTTTTCCACTCTCCTCAATTTTGGTTTAACTATTACAATTTCAGGAACTTCTTCGTTAACTACCTTTCTCCTCTTACTGTCTATTAGAGCAGAAAAGGTATCAGGTTGGTAATCATCATCGCTTTTATCGCCGCTCCTTTTACGTTTTTTCCTTTTCTGTCGCTTTCCATCTTCTTCATCTTCAGAATCTGACTTTTCATTTTGAATGTCATTTAAATCTATACCCATATCTTTAGCTAACTTTGGTTTGGTTTCTATGAATTCTTTGAGACTCTTCTGTAAGAGTAACTGATCTTCTTCTGATAATCGGTTTAGCTTGATTACTGGTTGTTTTATTGAAGAATCGGCGGCGGCTTTGATTATTTTTTCCGATTCTGCTTTTGGTTCTACATCAGGTTTTACATCAGGTGTAACATCGGGTGTAACATCGGGTTTTACATCAGATTTTACATCAGATTTCACACCAGAATTTACATCAGATTTCACACCAGAATTTACATCAGTTTTTACATCGGGTTTGACTTCATCCAATTTTGGCTCGTCTTTCGATGTATTTTCAGATTGTACCTGTTGGTCATCCACGGTGTCCGTGACCTGCTTTTGTTGCGGAATTGGAACTGTGGGTGTTACTTCAGTCTTTGCCACGTTTACTTGTTGGGCTATAATAAAAAGCAATCAAGGTAATAACACTATTCTGCAGAGTGGTGAAGAGATTATAAATGAATACAATAATAACTTACTTCTTGTAGGGTTCCGCCTTAACTGTCTAAGCTCACTTGTAGAAGTTTGCGAAGTTTGTTTGGTTTCTGTTAGACGACTATTATTGCAATTATTTACAGAAGTATTCTGAGGTGGTTGAACATTTTTTTGCTTTTGTTCAATCTCGGACGGATTAGCACTGTTTTGATCTGCCTGGGAGGTTCTATTACTGCTTGCGGATTGTCCTATTGTTGGATAAAACTTAGGTCAAGTGTCTAGTATTATTATTATTTAATACATAATATGTAAGTTTCAACATTAAATCGATGAAGATATAATATCATTTTTTTAACACATTTGACTACTAACTGATTGCGATATGTTGATTGCAACTAACAAAACTATGTTGATGGGATGAAAAGAGCTGTTTCTGGAATTGCTCTGATTAAGAGGTAGAAAAGAATTGGAAGGTTTAAAGTTAGGTCAATAACTTAACCACACTTTTTAAAATTGCCTGCATCCTAGTTACACACATGCGCAATTGTATTAAACATAAAAAAGCTTAAATATGAATTATCTTTATATTAAAAACTTTTATGACAATGACTATGTTTTAATCTTAGATAAAAGAGACCAGAGATATAACATACACCCGTGTTTAACTTTTTCTAGAGAAAGGTCAATAGAGTGGAGGAACTGGGTGGAGACCCGAACTCTGTGACAGGGATGGACTTTGTTTATAAGCATCATAATAAACTATTAGATATATAATGGAATTTTGTATTATGATATAAAATTAACGTGTTTTGTATTGTAACCTCACAAAAAGGTATATTAAAGCTTCTTTCTTTAGGAATATAAATTATATAGAGGATCAGTCACATAAAATTCTAGAAATGCATATGTCTGATAACAGATAAGATTTTAAAATTTAAACCTATTAAAAGTCATTTGGTCGCTAGGGGTGGATGATTATCGAAATAAATTATCGATCATTGATAATCAATTATTTTTAATCAATCGAATAGGTATTTTAAATAAATCTACTTTCTTTTTGTAATTCCTTTAAAATCGATTTTTCCATTAAATATCTTAAAAAAACGAAAATAATTTATTGAAAATGTTCGATTAATCGAAAATAATCGATTAATTATAACGGATAAATCGACTTTCATAAAAAAAAATGATCGATAAATCGATTATTTTTGTAACCCCTATCGGTCGCTTGCTTTTATCAGAGCATTTAGTTCCAAAATTTAGAGATTCGGATTTTTTGATCTTGTTATCTTTGAAACCGCATTCAATTGTATAATAAATATTGCTAGAATTTAGATTTTTTTAGTAAATCATGATTTTTTTTTCGAGTTGTTTAGGGGTTTATAATGTAACATTTTATTAACAATATGACTCAAATGTCACTTCCGATTTAACCGCAAATAAGATGAACCTTGAAATTTTATGTAGGTCATCCTGTATTTCATCTAATATTCTTATAAAAAAACAAAATTTCATTAGTAACAATGCCTATTTACTTCTTATTTAGATTAAATGTTTAAAATTTTGCCCTTTTGTAAATTAATGCACTATGAAATCTGTTTTCTGAAATATTATATAGTTGATGATAATATTTATTAAAACCCCTTAATGCGGATCTGAAGTATTCAGCTCAAAGGATCATGGCGGCTATGTCAAAACGTTAATAAATATTTACCGCTCATAACATTGACACTTATATTATTTGTATATACAATTTTTCACGATACATCGTGGCATTTTCAACTTGAAATTTAATAACTAAAACACATTAAATTGATAATAACACCAACAAATAATTCAAAAAATGGCGGTCCATGATGATTCACTCACGCGGAGACGAGCGTAGAATAGAAATGTCGGAGCAATTCGGGTGGCGTCGTGGACACAATGATTTTTAATTGGCAGGTTACTTAGGGTCACTTTTATCTAAGGTTTTAATAAATCAGGTTGCCTAAATTTCCTTAAATTAAAAATCGTATGTGGTATGATCTAAATAAAAAACAAACGAACCTTGTTGTATTGGTTGATTTGTAGAATTTCCACTTGAGCTACTACTTGTCTCTGATGAACTAGTCGTTGAACTTGTACTTTGGTTTGAGTTCTGAGAACTCTGCAAATTTTGTGGATTGGTACTACTTGGTGTTATTTTTGCTGATGTTGTTTTTGTTGTTGTTATTGTTTTTGTAACTTGACTTTGAGTTGTAGGTTGATTTTCTTCCTTATCTTTTGTCTGGAAATAGTTAATTTTCTTTATATATATGAAAAACTTAAGAAAGTCGATATTTATTTTATTTATACATTTACACCTTACATAATAATTATAATACATCAATTTTGCACATAAAGTTACTATACCTGATCTGCTGGTTGACCCGTATGATTCCATTGCTGAGATTGTGCTTGTGTTTGATTAGCTGTCTGCTGCGGTTGAGGTTGCTCTTGGGCTTGCGCTTGGAGCTGTTGATTTTGCGTCACTGATATCTGCGTTTGTTGCACCACTTGATTAGGACTCTGGGCTGTAAAACGTTTAAAAATATTCAATTATGGTTTCTTCTTGGTGCTGTGAAGCAGAATCCTTTACATCAAAAAAATGTTTCTAAAGTAGGCCATGATCGACAAAGACAGGAATACGAGTGGTTCTAAATTAAATTCAAACTGACAATTAAAAAGAAGAATCATTCAATCGACGTATGTGATTTTTTCCAATGCCTACTTTAGAATAGAATAGCTTTAATCACGATGCAAATTGTAGACTTTATAATCAAAATTTACAAAATTACTTACATTTATTATCACTAAAAATGCTTGCATTAGTATCCAAGAGAGCCCTTAATAATTCGGGCATAGACTCCTGTTGTTCAAGTTTTGACTCTGCCCCTGCATAATTATCTTTTACTTCACTGAAAAACAAGATAGTTGAGAATTAACAAAGTCGATGTGTGATTCTCTGGAAATAAGTGAGGACTGGTATGTTCCTACTGATCTTTGAATAAAGAAACATTAATTTATCCAACGTAAATCAGAAAAGATACTTACATGTGTTCTGCAGACGTTTTCTCCAATGACTGAACTAATTGAGGTACCAAAATTTCATCCCGGACACCAAGCAAATTTTGTGCTTCTTCTGCCACCCGAGGATGGAACAGTAATGACTTATTACTTAATGTCTGCGGTGAAGGGGTTGGTAATGGCATTTCAGGGAGCACTAAAACAAATTTAAACATTGTTGGATTTGTTTAAATATGGAGATATAAAGGGCTATTTGCACCGCTAGTTGTTAAGAACTAAGCAAAGCCTAGGCTATTCTGTATCAAATTTACGATTCCAGAACTCTGTTTCAAAAATCATTATTTTTTTTTAATTATACTATGTATGTAGCATATAATCAGGAAATTATAATAATAGAGAGTTATTGCAAGTTCACTTAAGGTCAGTCATTATTAGTGCCGCTCTTATTTTGACATCTGAGCATGCGCAGATCACTAACTTTAATAAAGATTGTGCCTGTCCTTAATAAGAGAGTTATTGCAAGTTCACTTAAGGTCAGTCACTATTAGTGCCACTCTTATTTTGACATCTAAGAATGCGCAGATGTTTATGTTCTAAAACTGACTTTATTAAAGATTGTGCCTGTCCTTAATTGTGGATGTTTAAGGGCAGCAGGTAGTGGCGACTTTAAAACTTTCGGATGCGCTCGCCGACATTCATATCCGTTAGAAGTTTTTTAATATTAAATATTTAATATAATCGTCATTTAAACCTTCTAAAATTATAATTTCTAATGCCTCTTTAATATTATGTACTATTATAGACAACAAAAAAGATGAACTATAATTTTAAGTTATTAAAATAAGGTTAGAAATAAGTATAAGGACGAGGATTCTAATGTCAAAATTTCAGATTTGTAATAAGTCTGATTTTGGCATGGAATTTATTTGACTCTAATTACGATGTCACTATTAGTGGCTGGCTTTATAGAAATTTGCAATATCTATTAAGGACAGGCACAATCTTTATTAAAGTTAGTGATCTGCGCATGCTCAGATGTCAAAATAAGAGCGGCACTAATAGTGACTGACCTTAAGTGAACTTGCAATAACTCTCTAATAAAAGGCAAACCATTTGATATACTATTGAAAAAGTTAGTTATTAATCATTTATTTTTTTATTCAGGTTTCCAACAAACCATTAAGTAAACTTGAATTTAAAACAGAAATATGAGTGAATAAAGTTTGATACAATTAACAAAAACAATAGAATATGTTGATTTTGTTATGAATCTCACAGAAAAGATGAATTTAAAGCTATGAGCAATTCCTATTTCATTCAATCCTCATCTTTTAAATTTTTTAAAGTAGTTTGGAGGCGCTACCGTTGGACAAAAACCTATACATATTATCCCCATTTTCGGAATCTACGTGATCAGTTCTCAAAGATGGTATGAAAATCAGACATTTAATGTTTAATGGTATCTGTAATGTGTGGAAGGTGGATTAACCCACGGCACTTAGGCCTTACTAGGCCCATTGTGCATCGTCCTAAGTAGATAGGCACTTCCTAACTCGTGAGCCAGCCTACAGATTGAATGTAATTGACAACGTCGCCAAGAGGTGCTTCTCTTATATCGGCCGGTGTTAGCCAATTCTCGCTGAACACCAATCTTCTAATAAATGAGAGCGTCGGGCAATCGTAGAGGATATGTTCGATGGTCTCATTTTCTTGTTCCCACCCCCTGCAGAGAGTGGATTCTGACAGCCCCATGATATGGAGATGCTTCTGTACTTAGCAATGACTAGTTTCTTGTTTCATCCCATCTTGTCATGTCTAATGGTAAGTTTAAGACATTTCCTGTAGAGATGGTCAAAAAATAACACGTTTTTGACCTTTTTTTTTGCCAGAAATCGATTTTTCGTGATTTTCTTTAAACGCCCATATCTATCTGTTCTTTAAGCTCAAAAATCCCATTTTGAAAATTTCATTTTTTTTTAAAAACGTTCCCTGATTCACCGAATAATGACGCGACATTGCATTCTGAGTTAGAAGACGAATTAGTACCCCCATATATAACGTTCTAGCAAAAAAATAACACACTGTGGCATTATTAGTGACGGCAGAACGAGATTTTGTTTACAATTTGGGTGATTTTTGTAATAATTTAAGTCTTTAATAGATTAAAATAATGATTATATTGTCATGTGATCCATTTTCGACCAGTCCGATCCTGCTCTAATCCCTCTTATAGCCTCCACGTTTTTGATTTCTAAGAATATTCGACGAAATAAATCAACCTACATAACCCCTCTCCCCTACGAGACGCCTATGGTCGCCATCAGTCGAACTAAATCATTTATTCTATAAAGTATTGAAGAAGCCATGACAGAGCATGTAGAAATTCAGGTGTAGTCTAGAAAATGGTGAAAGAATGTTCTAAGAACGTGTAAAACATTCAGGATGACCACATTTAGTCTCCCTGTATATATAATTTATATTTATGTACATCGTGAGTATACATAATAATATCGCTATCTTTATTTAAACTTATGAGTAAATATAAACTTTGCAATCAATTTGTTCTGATAAGTGGTATTAAAATCATTTGATAGAGCATCCACAATAGTTTCAGAACCAGTCTTTAACTCATTTTTTCAACAAATTCTAATACATGATATTGGAATGAAGGTAGCGATAGTTTTCTTTAAATTCTAGACATTTCTGAAATATGACAACATGGTGTCAGAACTATCTCTACTCTTGCTCCATCTGATACCTATTATTTAATTCCAGAACTAAAATTCATTATGGAAGCAACAAAATTATCAATTTGAAATCAAATCGCCTTTTAAAAAGTATGCAAAAGTGTTTATTTCAATACGGCAATATTAAAAAAATATGTAGAATGTTGTGTATTTTTTTAAACTACATCTGTGACTATCACTTTTTTATATTTGATTAAACGTATTTAATAATTAGCGAGACCAATTAAATGTTTAAAATTTTACTATAAGTTGTCAAAGTTTCATTACAATCCACCCCATAAAATACACTAAAAGGGCAGACTTAAGGACGTGCAATTTTTGTTTCAAGTTAGAAACTAAAGGTTCTTCAGTAGATTGACAATTATTAAAAATCTGTAACAAAAATATTAACAGTTCCTTATTTTTGAACTTCACATTATAATCAATTATTAATTTTTGAAATCTGTCTAATTAATCAAAGCATGTTCTTGTCAAATTGTATTTTTATAACTATGGGTGTTTGAAAGAAATATACTGATATAACTATTACCTAATTTAGCATAAAACATTTCAAATGATCATTTTATTATTGAATTGAATGAAAAATTCTTCAAATTAGATTTGTATTTACATTTCAAATTGTTATTTGTTTCCCGTTTTTATTCACTGCCAATTTACTTATGTAACACTAAAATAAATATTTGTTTTTAAGTTAATTTATTAGAAGTTTTTAGTATTTTATTGTATATTCCATATTGTAACCATCTTATTTTGATTGTATTTGACGCCATTCACTTTTATGTATACTTATAAATAAAGTTTTTTCTATTCTAAAAATAATAAATTTAGTAGTTTCGCTAGTTTAAAAAAAACCATAAAGGAACTTTCACCCCAACTCCGGGAGCATTCCAAAAATTGTGTAGCGATAATAACACAGACTGAAACACAGTTCTTTAGGATTAAAATTTTTGTTGACTGTCAAAAATGTAGTTTACAAGTGAATACAACATACCAGTGAATGATGGAACTCGCAGGGTTTGGAGGCCCACTTAGATAGTGGAATGGATGGGAAGGAATAGGGTAGTATAATAAGCCATTGAGGCTGCAGTACCTCCATGTGAACCCCCAGAGGAGGGAAAAGCAGGCTGGATTCCAAGCCTGATTGATGGGAGCCATTGGTTGGACCAAAGCCTGACTGAGGGAGTCTGCAGGAACCTCTCAGGGCATACAGAGGGATAGGTGAAATAAAAAAAAATGATATACCACTACTATGAATACATATTAAAACATTTTAAAATAAAATTTGATTATTTTTGTTTTTGTCACATTTAACACCTACCAACTAAGTGCAATTTTTAGCAGATTAATTTTTCATATTACAGTGCAATTATTACATTGAAACTGGCCACCGCAATTTTATATTAATAAAAAAATCTTTATATCAGCATCTGCAGATTTGGCAATATTGATATAGAAACAGTGCACTTGAAAGGTCAAATTATAAACCTTGTTAGTAGTAAAGTTCTAGCCATCTATTTACAATGTATTGAAGATTTGCTTTCACAAAAATGCTGGTGCAATAATCGCGTACTTAAATTGACTGGAATAACACATATGACAGTTGAGGATATGACAAAAAAATGCCTGTGTCTAATCAAAAATAAAAGTCTAAACACTTGTCTAAAATATTGATGCAGTAACTGATAATGGACATTTCATATTCATACGGCCACTCTGAATAAAAATAATTACAGGTTCATTGAGCCTATGTATGTGGTGTAAAATTTACTTATTACTAAGGACACAATTTAGGAAGGGAAAAGAAAATATGAAACAATCGCTTACTGACAAAGCTTTCAGATTTATTTTTATCTCTTCCTGCTGAGGTTTATTATTATTAAACATATTTCTGTTTCAGATTGGCAATACATTCACAAAATGAAATAAAGGATACACAAATTGCTCATGCAAACTTTACAGGTCTGTCTTAAGTCTTCTACAGACCAATTTATGGTAGCTAGAATACTTTACCATATTTTATTGTGGCCACCATTAAGTTCTTTAATTTTTTATTTCATGAATTATGATTAAATTGGTTTGAAATTTGGAAAGGTCAGATGGACATTAATATCCTCTAGATCTAGACCCTCTATGGTTTCTATGTTCTTCAAAATCTTTATCATAATCCAAATTCATAATTTGTCTGAAATGAAAAAAAATATGTTAATATACCCTGGTATACAAGTTACAGAACTACATGTATATAAATATTTTAAATACTACAAGCAGCTTTATTCAATACAATATTATTATTCATTCTTAAAATAATAAGCTTACCATGTAAAAAACACTTACCGTATCACATTGTGGTCAAGATAAACTAATAAAACATTTTTACCTTAAAAATGAACTAAACAATTTGTCTATTTAGATTATTGTATGTATTCCAAATAATAACATAATATGTATCATTTGTTAATAATATAAAAGTGTCAAACATATCATATTCTTTTTAATTTTTTGATGTAGCACATTAATTATTAAGTATTTGGTATTTAATTCTAACTACAAATGTTTATATAGATACACCAAACCATTTATTTATCAAAATTTATGCAGGTATAAAATGGATTTATTCTTTTTTGTTGTAATGTTAAATAAGTAAATGATTTTTTATTATTATCACTAGTTCTCAGTATTAATTAACATTATTTACAAATAGGTAGTCACAGTATATATCTATACTTTTTATTGCAAGTGAATATGGGTAAATAGAGTTGTGGAGCTCGACTGGATTCGTAAATTTGTGTTTACAAGGGTAGGGGAGCAATTTGTTTCTAGTGTTCTACTTATTTCATACTCACAATCTGTAAGACTTGCTACACCCGCTAGTGTGGTGATGGGTACACTTGGGACTCCTGGATCCATCTCCACAAATTAATTTTTCTTATCCAAAAACCATATTTAAATTCTAATGATGTGTCTAAGGGTATCATGTAAGAGATTTCCGTCTCTTGTTCATAACTGACATAACCTAAGTGATCACTTCAATTAAATTTACAAACTACAACTGAATCTTTACACTGTAAATATGAGAGCAATTGACTAATTGTTTAGGATTAATAAATAAACAATACAAACGTTCTTTTTTGGTGAAAAATGGTATAGCTGTCAAAAACATTGCAATTGCAGCTGACATTTAAAAGTTTTTCAAAAACTAATATATAGCATGTTTTCTACATTTTTAGATGCCTGTGAGGATCATTCACCATAAAAACAATTCACTTTTCTTATTTTGCCAGCAATAAGTTGCATTATTCAGATGACCGAGTTTGTTTTGATGAAGCGTTCGCTATTCCACCCAAAGTCCCTCGCTTGTGCTGGCACTGGACATAAAATAAATCCATATATTGGCATTTGCTTACTTATTACTTAACCCATTATACTAATTTCCAGATGAATAACAAAACATTTTATTTTTATAATTAATGCAAACAAATGGCGAATTTATAAACAGACAGTTGACTGAGAGGCAAACGAAAAACACAAACAGTGGTGTGCTATGGGTAGGGGTGAGACTGCTTGCTAGGGATGGTGTTCCCAGAACTGTTATTTTTAACAGATTAACCGGTTCGGTTCCGTGAACTGACCTACTGCAGAAAACAGATCAACAATCGATTAACAATCGATTAAATGATTCGATTAATCGAAATATGTGACATAAGTTCTGTGAGTTCTGTCAATATATATCTATTGCCTTTAATCGATTTGTTAATTCGAATATTTTACCCTTTCTAGACATGGGTAACGCACTAAAATTATTTGCGTTGATACACTAACTCCGGCGCACTCTATTGCGCCAACTCATTGCGTTAACGCAATTGCGTTATTGCGTCACACCACTGCCTGCGCCGAATGAAGTCGATGCACCTCGGTGTATCGCATGATACCGGTGTTATTCAGCGCGGGCTGTCTTTTTATAAGGGTCAAACCGTGTTCAAGGCAATAACGCAATTGGGAATTTAACTAATTTTTTTTATTATATGTTTAATAATAAACGAAAATATAACAGTGTAATGCACTCATTTTTTTATTTCATTGTGTTCGGATTTTACAAAAAATACAAAAATTCCAATTTATATAAAAAGGATATAAGTTTTGTATACTAGTAGCCAATCAAATTGGGAAGAACTAAAAATTGACAGTGTACAAGATTAAAATTCATAAAATTCGACCTACAATCCTACAAATGATGTGACATGTTGCAAAGAACATAATTACTTGATAGATTTTGGGTAATCTGCATTACGAGTTGCATCAATTACGTAAATTAAAATTCTCAACTCGTCACGGAAAACGGAATCAGTGCCTGGCGCACGGCGCACCAACAACTCGCGATCCTTTCGACTCAGTATCGAAAATTGCGTTGCGCTGATACAGTAACAACTGGTGTATCAACGCTCGTAACGCATACAACTGCGTTAACGCAATAACGCAACGCAGCGCTGCGTTACCCATGTCTAACCCTTTCACTCCAAATATAACTTCACATCACAAAAGGCGAGTTCGGGCTACGCACTCTTTTCACTATATTCAATCCTAAAGTACCTAAAGCGTTCGGGAACGAAAGGAGTTAAAATAAAAGTTCCTTTTTGACCGTTCGGAGATCGTGGAGTGGAGTGTGGATCGGGCATGCGCATAAGGTGATTTAAATCGATAATAAAATAATTGTGACTAACTTCTTAATTAAAAATGCTTTTTATTTGGTTCCCGTGCATACCATTAATATTGAAGAAACTTATAGCGTTGTTACTGATAAGTACGATTAGTTTTTAACTATTAGTATGTCACAATGACAACTGACATGGAACCCTGAGAGTAAAAGGAGTAAAATCATATGCGCACTCCGTTTACGCCTACTTACTCCACGCCACTCTGGGGGTCGATTCTCGACTTGTAGGAACCTTTTCCTATAGGAATTTGTGACACTTTCTTATATGTAGGAAAATGTCATAAATTTTCGATGTACATAAAAATGTCAAAAATTCCTATAGGAAAATATTCCTACAAGTCGAGAATCGACCCCCTGGAGTGCGCAGCCCGAACTCACCTAGAGTTTTCGCTAAAGTCTCTATTAGGCATTATAAACAAAATAGTTGCCCGTGGGTTATGATATGAAGGGCTATATCAAGCTAGCGGGCACTCTGTGGCGGCACCATACAAGACCTGGTGGGTTTTTTGTAGCTTTTTTGTTACGCTTTTTGGGAATTTGTAGCTTTGCCCAGGTCCGAAAAAACAGTGGATCCGCTAGCTTGAATTTCCATAGTAGCGGCACAGATTCAGACCCAGTTGGTTTTTCGTAACTTTTCTGTAGCTTTTTTGTTACGCCTGTCTTGATTTCGTTGCGAGGCCTGAACGTGAGTAATAATCGTTTCTCCATGAGCGTGAGAGAAAAGTGCGTTAATTTAAAATCAAGTTTCGGCCTCTACAAGTAATATGTGCAACTCGATAGTGTGACTATCTGTTGATAGATGGCACCACTATTGCATTTCACGAATTATGGCCATCTTCCATCCAATATATTTTTGAGAAATTTAGATATAATTTCAAAATCGGACATTATTTGTTTTTAAATGTTTTTTAGTGTTGTTTATGTATTTATACTTTTGTTGAATCAAGAATATTCTTACATCTTTTTTGAATGATTTCCTTAACCAATCGATTTGCAGTATTTATGGACCAGTGTTTAATTCTGTCGTATCACAACTATACAGGGTGTTCCATCTCAGACGAGCCACCCCGTATAATTCTTATCCCATAGTAATTTCCCGAAACAACGTCGGATGATTTTCTTTGGGGGACATCTTTTGACGTATATTTGAGGTTTGAACCAGCAACCCCCTATGAGGGGGCTTCAACCCCTCAAAATGGAATAGGGAAACGCAATAGTGGTGCCATCTAGCGACAGATAGTCACACTATCGAGTTGCACATATTACTTGTAGAGGCCGAAACTTGATTTTAAATTAACGCACTTTTCTCTCACGCTCATGGAGAAACGATTATTACTCACGTTCAGGCCTCGCAATGAAATCGAGACAGGCGCAACAAAAAAGCTACAAAAAAGTTACAAAAAATGAGCCGGGTCCTAGCTGGTGCCGCTACAAATATCCGCTAAGCTAGCGGATCCGCGCTTTTCTCAGGTTCAGTACAAGCTACAAAAGGGAGACTAGCGTAACAAAAAAGCTACAAAAAAGTTACGAAAAACCAGCTGGGTGTGAATCTGTGCCGCTACTTTAAAAATTCAAGCTAGTGGATCCGCTGATTTTTCGGAATTGGGCTAAGCTACAAATTCGCAAATAGCGTAACAAAAAAGCTACAAAAAACCGACCAGGATAGCTATTCACTAAGTCATGGGAGCGCTCCCATGGGAGTGCTCCCATATATTTTGCTCTCTTACTCTTAGGTGGGTATATCGTGCTTACTCACTTTTAGCCCAGGTACATGCGTAGTAAGGTCAGATTTTATACTATGGGAGGGAGAATTGCGGGCTTGCCAGATTAGGTCCGTATTTATCACAAAGCAAATTTGAACTACTAAGGGCCGATTCCACCGTTGAGTTAAACGGAGATTAAAATGACATTGTTAATGTAAAAATGTCATTTTAAACTTCGTTTAACACAACGGTGGATCGGTCCTTAAATAGTAGATCAAAGTTATTCTGTCGACTTGGCAACGTTGGCATGGGAGTATGGGAGCATGGGAGTGTGGGAGTGCTCCCATGAGTTAGAGAATAGGTATCCAGGTCTTGTATGGTGCCGCCACAGAGTGCCCGCTAGCTTGATATATGCTGCGTTTGAAAATTACCTCATTTTGCTCTTTTTACTCGAAGTCGTTCTTTTAATACATCTGCGGCTTCTCGATGGGATCTGCTACGTGGTCTTTTAATGCAGAGCTGGTAAATCGAGTAAGATCTATTTACTCCGAGTTAAATTTTAGAGCTTTCGGAGTAAATGGAATTTCTGTGACAATTGACAAAGTAGATGTACTTTTCTGAGATGTATAGACATCGTTCGTTGTCTCTTGTATTGCAGTTTATTCTTTTTCATATGTGTTTGGTTATTAAAAAAAATATTTATAAAACATGTCAGACAGAAATGAGAACATGGTTTATTTTCCAGTGAAAGCAAAAAAGCGAAAAATACCACAAATAAAAATTTACTTTAGTTGGCAACTTGCAACAAAAAACACGAGACGAGAGATCAAATTTGATTTAAAAGAAAGGTTTACGTTTGTTATTTTAATGAAAACCGGATACGGGAAACACAAACAAATCCATAGCTGTTCTTGACTAAAAATCTACTAGCTCTACTCCGCTCCGTAAGGTACTTTTCAAACGTAGCAATAGCCGAAAAAAAGACACACGTAATACTATACTGATCCAGTCTACTGGTATCGATACTTTTCTTTCGATACCGGGTAATTTAAGCTGTTTTTTAGCCACCACATTGGTTTAAAATATTTTTTAAACCATATTTAAAGTGACGTCATGAATTAATAGATGGCAAAAATAGAGTGTTTTAAATATATTTAATCTGCTGTCATATGACAAAATTTTTAATTAGGTAGGTATTCTGATTTCGTTCGTATTTTTTTTTTAATGATTGTTAAATCAGATGAAGGAAGATGAGTGTTTGATAGCGATTTTAAGTAAAAATTGAAGTGTTTTTAAAAGGTACATTGCAATCTGAAACGTTGTTCATTATTTTATTTTTGGTATTTTTCTTTTCAATAAACATGGCATCATATTTTTTCCGTAGCTCCACAGATACGCGATTTTCTAACGATTATTTGCTGTAGTTTTGTTGGGCTTTTCCAAAGTTCATCAACCACCAAAGAACGTTTAATTGCTTTTAAATAATTGCTGGCAAATTCAGAATCTGAAGCAAACTACGTAATTATTTTTGTAAAAAACGTACAATTGATAAGTAATCCTCTAACCTGAATTATTGTTTCATAATCAAGAGTAACCCATAGGTAGATCACATCGTCCAACTGTTTATGTTGACCATAAATATTAATATTTGTATTATAACATTATAACCAATTAATGTATGAATATTAATCACATAATATATGTATGAAGTTATCAAAAATCAATAAAAATAAACAAAACGTCAAATATATCAAAATGTTCAAAGATGGAACAAAACAACATACAACAGCCACAATCAGAATCTCTTATGTGTCAACCGTTATTGAACCATATGCTTCCGACTGGTTCAAAAATTCTAGCTTTGGTTTAAAATATTTCGTACGCGACGTCATAGTTGCATCGCTAAAATTTAAACGGTTTAAAACCGTCGAAAATATTTTAAACCATACACTCGCTAAAAAATACCTTTAGTACCCGTTACTCTGCTTTCGATACTTTACTCATATCGATACTACTTTTGTTTCGATATTACTACTTTCGTTTCAATATTTTAATATTTTACTAGTTTTGACATCACAATACAAACAAAAAGTATATTGTAGGATCACTTTATGGTATGGTATGGTATGGTATGTCGGCGTACCCTAT